AATGGAGGCTTTCTATCTAGCACCTTTTTCAGTATTTGAAGAATGCTATTATATCCCCCCTCAATTTTCTCAATCTTTCTTCAAAGGAATTAACTTTTTAGTTTTCTGATCAGCCTCACTGCCCTTCTCAGAACTTGTTCTAGGTTGTCTATGGTACTTAGAACTGGACTTGATACTTGAGGTGGGGTCTAATCAGTGTTGAATAAAGTGGAAGTATTTCTTCCAGTGATTTGGAAAGTCTGTTTCTAGTGATGCAGCCTAAAGTTGCATTTGCCTTTTACAATCATTTCACTCTATTGATTCGCATTCAATTTGCATTCAAGATATGCTTTACAGCTGCTGTTATCAGACAGGCATCCCCCATCTTAGTTTCCTAAATATGTTTGTATTTGTCTCTATTAAATGTTGCTCCATTTTTTTTTCTCAGCTTATATCTCTAACCTATTAACATCATTCCAAATTTCATTTTTCTTCTAGAGTACTTGATATTCTACTTAATGTTGTGTCATCTGAGAAGCATTCTTTCTACCTCTTCATATAAGTCATTAAAAATACTGACTTATTTAAAACCTAGGACTGAGTTATGTTGCATCTCATTAAATACCTCACTTCATTTTTACGAGGAACCACTGATGAGAACCTGTTAAGAATGGCTTTTATGCCAGCTATGTATTCACTTTGTCATGCCATCCAAGTCATAATTAAATAGCTTGTTAATCATAATATTTTGGGGTACTTTGTCAAATGTTTTGGTGACACCAAGATATATTATGTATACAGCATTCCCATAATCTGTTAAATAAGATCAGTCTGGCAAAGTTTTTCCTTGATAAACCCATGATGAGTTTTAGTAATTATAGCCTTGTTTTCAATGAACATACAGACTGATCTTTTATGATCTGTTCCAGAGTTTCCCAGGTATTGAAGTTAGACTGAATGGCCTCTAGTTCCTTGGATTCTTTCCCCATTTTGAAGACAGGGACACTGATTTTCCTTCAGTCATCTTGTACTTTATCCAATCACTAGTGTCCTCCAAGATAATACCGAAAGGTTCATTCTTTTTCAGAATTTGGACTGTGATTAAAGTAAATCCCAAATCCTGTTTATCCAAACATTGCATATAAAGTTATCAGTAGCACAATTTTTCAAAAGTGTATTCTACATTGAAATTTATAACCAAAGAAAAGAAAAGATGAAATAGAGTAAAAAGTGAACAGTTAATTATATTCTGAGCCTCTCTCAGTACAAGGACAACATTCTTTTGATTAATTAGTCATTTGGAATAAGGTATGGAAAAAGTATTAACTTCTCCTTTTTCAATAAATATGCCATAAGGGTTTATTGTCATGAGCCCTATCTCAGTATTTTTTCCCTTTTTTTATTTTTCTATATTAACATTAACACTTTAAAAAGCATTTTAAATAATCCTTCATAACATTAACAGTGAATATAATTATACAATGCATGCATTAGCTTTTCACAGCAGGAACTATTCTTTCTTTGGACTAGACTACACTCAGTTTGCATAATTCAACCTGGCCCAAAACATCTTAGGATAGTCAAGTGATCTCCCCTTGAATCTCAAAAACTCTGCTACTGTAATTGCTACTGATGCCAGATGAGAGATTCTTCATAATTAACTATTATGCATGATCAAGTGATTCAAGGAACATGTGAGTTCATCTCATGTACATATGGCTCTAAGAGAAAGAGAAAGCTTTTAATTTTTGCTACTAGCATGCATATAGTGGGAGTGAAAAAACCCTAACACAACTGAAAGCATAGAGTGATAGGCATGATGGCTTTATTCAAATGTGACATTTCTATAGAACTGCTGACCATAAGCACAGAATCTTTTTTTGATAGAGAAGAATGATCAGAATTGTGGGGCTGAACCATAGACCATAAACATGGTACCTTCAAAATATTTTTCAGTTTAGATTTCAGTTTTGCTTTTTTCTTTCTTTTTTGGTTGCCCCATATCTGATTTTGCCAATACCCTTCTATTTATCAATCACATTGCTAAATAGGAAAAAAACCATTATTTAAAAGAAAAATCACTAAAACAAGTTTAATCTCAGTTGTTAACATGGGATATTCATTTTTACACTGGAATTAAATTGGATATAAATACCTCCTGCTCTTACCAGTGGGTGGTGTTATTCCATGTATTAAGGTATGAAGCAGACAAGAAAAAGATAAATCTTTCATAAGTACAACATATAAAAAACAGTTGGTACAACAACCTTGCATCAAAATTCATTTGATTATTCTCCTGAAGATAAATATATGGAATTTCATGAGCATAAGAAATACAATATTACAAAATGCCACTGAATGATGTTTATTGCTGCATTTGGATTTAAAGCAGCTGTCTCATACCTTCTCATGTGCATGCAACAGCAACTGGAGTGGCTAACTGACATCCCACCAAGCGTACTGATGAATATGAGATGACAAGCCATTTAAGATTGCTTTTCAATACACCAAAACTTACACCTTGCACTATTCAGCTGAACAGCATCCAGTTATTTAGCAATATTAATTGGAGTAACTAGATGTCAAATCTTTTAATGAATGCTTTGATAGAGACAAGTCAGTTATTTAATAACTTCAGAAATAATAGGTTGGTTTCAGACCAACTCAAATACTATTTTAGAAGCTTTGGCCATTCACATTCTGAGAGTTTTGATAGTTGCTCACAATGAGATACTTCATTTACAGATATTCTTTTAATAATTCTGATAATGTGACTTTTGGTACTAACAGTGAATTCCTTTACCTGTCTACCTATAAGTAAATTTCATTGTTTTCAATACACCTTCTCTCAGGTGTAAAGCAAGTATATTAATGGTTACAGAAACTAGACTGAATTAAAATATTTTCTGATAGAGGACTTTTTTGATGTTGAGTTGCCTGATTTGGGATACTTATTGTTGCATTCATACTGACAGCACAACTGAAAAAAGAGATTGTAGTAAAAATATCCTTTTGATATCTTTTTTCCCTTTATAAATCAAGAGAATCCCTTTTTTGATTTATAGCAGAAAATCAGCCATTCCAACAGCCATCTTAGGGATTCAGAAATTAAGTGTAATGAATGAAACATAACACCTCCCTGAAATCATTTGTATATTTGCTACTGACTTCAACTTTTTTTCAGTTTACTGGACCGTCTTATAAAATATTTTATTTCTTTGAATGGTACCTGCAGGCAAGTTGCTCTCAGGTGATAAGTTTAGAAGGAAGATGTTGGCTGTGCAGCACTTCAGTTCTGATTCCCAGAAGGTGCAGCTGAAAAATAGTGCCTCTGTAGCTCTTTAGCTACACAGCTGCGACTCAGGATTGCACATCTGCCCGTTGCACTTTCTGTGCAGTCCCAAGAAATAGTGCCGCTGCTCTGAAGACTTGCAGCAAATGTTACACTTATGCCCCTGGGCCTTCTAAAGAACCTTTTGGAATCAAATCTGAAGCACTGCACCGTTCCAAGTGTACAGTGAGGCTGTTTCTGTCGATGGCATACAACGACATACAACTGTGATATGTTCTCTGTGATCTTGTTTAAACCAATTTTTTTGTAATGGTGAGAGTTCAAAAGCAGAAGTCAGTACTCTTCTGGTGCAAAGCCTCATGGGATATTAGGCTATTCTTGGAGAAAGTGAACTATGAGCCTGCATTCCCACAACGATGGAAATGGTAGCTTTAAATTCAGTTGGTATGGGCAGAGCCACCAGGGAAGAGATATTATCAGCACAGTGGATGATTAGATCAAATGTGAGAACAGGGCCATTAAAACACATTTGAACCGTTGCTCTAAATACATCCAAGGAGTTAGGTTTGCCTGATGGGGTTTTGAAGTTCCATGTGCTGTATAGCAAACAGCTTTGGAAACTTGCCTCAATTTCAGAAATGGTTGGTTTAAAAAAAAAAAAATGGCTCCAGTTTGAGACAAACACACTCATGGCTTCCCTCACCTATTTATTTATTTATTTATTTATTTATTTATTTATTTATAATTTAAATTAGAATGCAACTATCTTATCACCTTGTTGGACCCAAACCTTGACCAGATGGATTGATTTTACTGCAGCAAAGCCCTCTAGCATTGATGGCATTTGTATCAGGCTTAAAGCAGTTTAATTTAGGATTAAATTATATATTTTATGAATATGTATGCTCCCCTGCTCTGTGGGAATATCTGATTTTACTGAAAAGCAGCTTTGGACATGATAATTAAAAGCAGAAGAGCACTGGAGCGTTTTTCTGCCTGTGCTTTGCTTTATTAAAATTGCATGTGTATATGTCCGTGTATGTACACACCCATAGCAGCTACTATGGAAAAACAGCTAAGTGCATATTATGATCTTGAATGAGAGCAAAAAGAAAGAATTAACTCCTCACTTTGAGATTCTTCTTTCAACTGCTGCTTTTGAGTTTGCTTTTCCATTGAAAAAAAGAAAAGGAAATATGTAATTACATTATATGGTATATTTTGCCTTAAGCATCTCACTTAAGGCAAACAGATATTCATATGGTTCTTTTCATCATCCATTGAATACATTTTGGCGCGTACTATGTATGATGTTATGCTACTTTCAGCAAAAAATCTGCAGTTACCATTTTATGTAGCAAGGCTTGATTTTGTAAGGAATCAATTCTAGAATAATTGCTCGTGATCTTTGTCTAGAGTAATCTGAAATCTGTTTTGTATACAACTGAGGTTTGAAATTGTACAGGTCAAATTGGTATTTTTGCAAAGCATGATACTATATTATATTGATTATTTATGTATTAGATCAATTTATATGGTTAACCATATCACAGTACAACTCTGGGGGGCTAACAACACATAAAAACAATAAAAAAATATTAACAAAGAGTTAAGGGTCGTTAGCGTTAGAAATAAAGCCTTTTCACATCACGAAGTTCAGTGTTCTTTCTTTGCCATTTGGGTTTGTATATGTGTGCATGCATTAGTTGCTAAAAGCAAATGTACATACCATGTTCATGTCAATGCCATTTGTGTACGTCCATGCATGCTGGAAATATTCTTCAAGTCGCTGCCTCAGTGGGTTGGGAATTTGATGAAAGCGAATGAACTCTTTTACACGCAGCATCTGCATGTGATACCGTGCTGTTCCAGAATATAGTCTTTGGATTATTGCAGATACATTTCCAAAAATGCTTGCATACATTAATGCTGGATTAAGATAAAGCAAACGAACAAGGGGTTGGCTAATATCATTGTACATGTACAAAATGGCTTGTTACAATATAATAGTTTTCAAAATCCCCACATTTTACAGAGGTGGCAACTGACATGGATACATGCCTACTGTCACTTACACAATTGCAAAAACTGGAAAACAAAGATGGTCACAAGTGAGTACACAGCCCTGGCTACTTGTCCAGGCTCCACATAGAGACACTCGATCATGCATCATGGAATGAAACTTAATGTTCCAGTCCTAAAAATATGCCGAGTAAGAGAAGTACCCAAAGTTCCCAGTTACTGGGATCGCCCTGCTTAAAGCTGATGGGACAATTCTGCCCTGCAAAACTGCAAGTTACAGTACTTCTAACACGATGCTAACGTGCATTAATAACAAAAGATTTGTCCCAATATGCTGTTTGATATTGGATCAAGCTGTATTTTCCCAATACTGCTGTAAAAAAACCAATTTCCCTGCAGATATATGTCAGAGGAGCGTTGTTTGGTTGTTATATGTCAAGAATGGTGTTCTCTCTCTTTTTCTTGGCATAATATCTTGGCATAGCATAGCTCTGCTCTGTTATCCCAGCTCCTCAAATCCAGGCTGACTAACTTCTGTTGCCAGTGAATGATGACGGATTGTAATATTACCCTGGCTTAATTTTTAATAGTTAATGATGAAATAGGTCATATAAGGAGAGTCCAAACAACATCAAGCATTTAAAACGTTTGTCAGAGGAGAAGAAGTTCTGCTTTTCATTGGATCACATCCGACATCATGTGACCAGAGTTCTGCTTGTACAAGTGGACTTCCCTTTAGTTGCCCCCAAATCTGCTTCAGAGGAGTCTCCTAACTCTATGGAGTGGATTTGGGAGTACATAGGGGAAGATGAATCCATTATGAACAGTCACCAATAGATCTAACCTGCTGAAATAAAAGAAAACGGGAACAAAGACTATTCTGTAATCTGAGAACATATGTTTTACCTACAAAATATTTCAAGTTCAGTTCCTGCCATCAGATATACCTAAGAACTTGGAGATTCTTATACACTAATCAGTAAACTTAACCATTGTTTATTCCAATAATTCAGTTGCCCAAGTTTGCATGACACACTGAACCATAAACAGAGTGGGTGCAAAAATATGCCAGGCTAAAATATGGATGACTCATTTGTAGTTCATTTTGTTCTGCAAACCACTGTACTGTACTGAGTTAGCGGACTTGAACACATACCCATTGCACTGAGCTAGTTTCACCAGACTAACATCTAACTTCACCCTTAAAGCACTTAATGTTGCTTGGATTTCATATGTAGTTAAAATGCCCCAGATGAGCTAAAGAGAAGAAGACATAAAGGGGGCATGAAGTCACAAAGGTAAGAATTCAATGTGATTTTGGCAAGTTCTTTTCTAATCTCCTGTAGGCATATTTACAATTGATTTGGATAAAGGCGATGAAAAAAGGTGGCACGTTTAGATAAAACAGCACATCGTTTTGTAATATTACAACAGTTCTATGATGTGGCACTGCTGATGCAACAATTTTTAGGACTGAACCATTTGTCTTGCCTTGTCTTTTTTAAACACATTTCACTTTGATTGATATGTATAACTGTTTGCGATATGCTTTAGATCAGGGTGAGCAATCTTTTTTGGCTTGTCTGCCCTGGCCAAGGGCTGTTGGGGTATAACCAATATTTTTATGACATTACTTAATGTCAGTCCACTGAAACACAAAACAGAGGCTGATGTAACAGTAATGTAAAAATATTGTTCATGCTCAATTTGCCTCTAAATCCCCATAAGTGGGGAAAAAACAGTTTGGGGAGGTGTCAGTATTTAGAGAGTTCAAAGGGTGTCATAAGTCCTTTAAACCACCTTCCAAGCTCCCCAATGCAAAAAAGGATCTGAATATTTTCATCCTATCCTCGGGGGGGGGGGGTTGTTCTTGAGAACTAGAATTACGGTGCCAGGAGACCATGTGTGGCATAAGGGCCATGGAATCTTTACCTAAGCTTTAGATCCTTAGGCAATAGGAACATCTGCTCTAAGGCTGTCATGATGTAAGTACTGCAGCACAGAATTGCCATTTTCTAATTTGTAAGTGCACATGAATGGCACTATGTATGGCACCAAGGTGTTTTCTGCATTCTCAGCCCCCTCTCTTCTACTGTAAGTTAAAGTTAGTGGATTTACATCTAAATAAGATGAGAGGTTAGATGAAGTGAAGAATCAACTTAAGGGGAAAAAAATGAAGTGTCATGTGATTTCTTCCCCCAAGCACAACTCTTTTCTGCCTTGACCACACCTATTTCCCCTGATTCTTCCCAGAAAACCTCTGTAGTTTTCAGTCCAAATGAAAATGCGGTTCTCTGTCCTAAGTCCTGCTGAATCATGGTGGGAATGTGAGGGCCATTTCTATTTCCTTTCCCCTCCTCCTTCAACAAGAGGAATTGATATGATCAGGTCTCAGGCTGGCCTAATTCTCCTCTGTGTTTGGAGATACGACAGAGGGATGAGGGGCCTTGATTCTGCAAATCTTCAGCCATTCCCCAGCACATCGTATTTTGGGGGTAGCTACTTTAGAGAGGCCTCTTGTTCACCCAGATATTTTTTTTCTCTGTCCATTAAAGTATCCTAGGCCTTTTGATATGCCCTTTTAGGGAGAGTAGGATCACACTACTAACTTCTGTTTAAAATTTTTAATTAACTAAATAAACAATACCTGTACTGTCATTATTTTATAATTCTTGTATGTCTGTTTGTATAATTTTGGACACAATGTTTCAGAAAATTCCTGTATTTTCAAAGGGAAAGGTAGAGGAAGCTACTACTATGCTAGTTTCTGTAATACTGTGTTAAAGCCAGAATACTGTACTTCATGAAAAATTTAATGCTGTACCTTGATTACAGATTCTTAATTTTACTTTTATTAAAATATTCAAGGGTTGCACAGTATTTATAGGGCAATGCTCTCTTTAGAGAACATTAATCACTTAGAAAATTTGCTCCAAATTCTTCACAGAAAACTACAAAATATGATTCTGTATATATACAGTAATCCATGGTATCTAATACAGGTAGTCCCCAGTTTAAGAATGAGTTCTGTTCCCAAGGTCTGTCTTTAAGTCGAATTTGTATGTAAGCCAGAACAATATTATACAATATAAGTGGTACTGTGTGATTAACTCGAATCATTGTGCATTTAACTCAAATTTTGCTACAATAGGCTCTGTTCTTAACTATGGGTTGTCCTTAACCTGGGTGTTTTTAACCCGGGGACTACCTGTATAGCAAAATGAGAGTGTACTATCTTAACTTCACCCAGCCAGCTTTCATGCCTAAGGTGGGACTAGAACACAGTCTCCTGGTTTCTAGCCTGGAGCTTTAACCATTAGACCAAACTGGGTCTCTAATTTGGGGCAACTGTACCATCAAAATCAGGTGGCTTAGTCAGAGCAAGCTCCAGGGATGCAAAAGAGAAGGAAGGGGTGGAGGATGTTTAGTGGTTTCATATGATCCTGAAGCTGCAGGCTGTTCAAGTTTAAAACATAACAGGCTATACCTTTTGAAGTTCTACTCAGAATTGAAAGAATGGAAATCCTGAAGTCCTTTGCATCTTCTCATATTGGCAAAAGAACCTATGGAGCACACTCTTGCTGATAATAATTATACACAGTAATTACAAAGCTTACCTGGCGCTAGAGCAGGGGTTCCTAAATGTTTTGCCATCACACCTCCCTTTAGTGTAATCTTAATGTACACACCTCCCCTAAAAATCCAAATACCAAAATGAACACAAATGAACAATGAAAACAATACAATGAAATTTTGGGAAAGGTAGATTAACAAGTTTGGGAAACCCTGCTGTAGAGTCACAGAGATGGCCTTGGAATAACCTGACAGAGATGTTGCTTGGAAAAACATGTGTTAAGTTCAGGAAACAGAGAAAGCCTGAGGGGGAAAAAAGGAAGCCTCAGATTGACTCCTTCTTAATTTACAAGAAAATAAGAGAGAGAGAGAGGAAGAGAGGGGAAAACAGTCAGGCTTTCAATATTCTGTAACTATAGTCTCCCTCAATAAAAAAAGATTTCCAGTGAGACTTGTAGAACCTGCTTCCTGGTTGGCCTAGCTCAAATGGTTGTCACATAACAACAGCCATAACGAACAAGGCTCTGCTGGGAAACTAGTTGGAAACCTAGGCCGTATGGGAGATTCTTATGCTGGAAGCCTATCACACCTTTATATTTTTCCTCTGGAAATTAGCAAAATGATTGGGGAAAGCTGGAGAGATATGCCTCTAACATGTGGCCTGGTGCTTCTGAAATTACCTATTTCAGTAGTTTCTCTACTGCCAAAAGAGCAGGAGGTCTAAACTTTTATCTTCCCTTCACTAATCAGAGGATGGATGCTTGAAGCACAGTAATTAACTGCAGGGATATAAAGAGATTTTCCATTAAGCTCATCTAATCCTTCAACCTTGCTGGAGAATGAGGTCAGTAAGTCTCACAAGTTGTCCAAAGAGTTCTCTACACTCAGCAATGTCCTTGAGATGAAAGCATGAGGCTTTGAAAGCTGCTGCCCCCACAGGAAGGCTGCTCTTGGGGAAGTAGAAGTAAGGGCAGGTGCAATGAAGGGGAGAGGAGCAGGGAGGGTGAAGGATCCCTATTTCCTTAGGTTTTTCTCATCTCCAATAGGTGTGGAGGCTTGCCTAGAAGAGCAATATCTTGCTACTTGAGAGGGGAAAACAGTGAGGTTCTTCTCTCTAACAAGCCTGTGTGTGTCCTGGAGAGGAGAACCAGGCAGGGAGACAGAGATCACCTGATGGGAACCAGCAACAAGGTTAGCAGTAGGAATGATTTTTTTGTAGGGGAGGGCCTTTGAGTCAGTGTTGACTCCTGGCAACTGCCTGGACTAGTCCCTGCAGTTTTCTTGGCAAGATTTCAGAAGTGGCCTGCCCTTGCCTCCTTCCCAGGGCTGAGAGA